CTATACCAATAGTAGGGGGGTCGGGAATCAATGAGTTTTCAACCCGGGGGGGGGGGGGGGGGGGGGGGGGGGGGGGGGGGGGGGGGGGGGGGGGGGGGGGGGGGGGGGGGGGGGGGGGGGGGGGGGGGGGGGGGGGGGGGGGGGGGGGGGGGGGGGGGGGGGGGGGGGGGGGGGGGGGGGGGGGGGGGGGGGGGGGGGGGGGGGGGGGGGGGGGGGGGGGGGGGGGGGGGGGGGGGGGGGGGGGGGGGGGGGGGGGGGGGGGGGGGGGGGGGGGGGGGGGGGGGGGGGGGGGGGGGGGGGGGGGGGGGGGGGGGGGGGGGGGGGGGGGGGGGGGGGGGGGGGGGGGGGGGGGGGGGGGGGGGGGGGGGGGGGGGGGGGGGGGGGGGGGGGGGGGGGGGGGGGGGGGGGGGGGGGGGGGGGGGGGGGGGGGGGGGGGGGGGGGGGGGGGGGGGGGGGGGGGGGGGGGGGGGGGGGGGGGGGGGGGGGGGGGGGGGGGGGGGGGGGGGGGGGGGGGGGGGGGGGGGGGGGGGGGGGGGGGGGGGGGGGGGGGGGGGGGGGGGGGGGGGGGGGGGGGGGGGGGGGGGGGGGGGGGGGGGGGGGGGGGGGGGGGGGGGGGGGGGGGGGGGGGGGGGGGGGGGGGGGGGGGGGGGGGGGGGGGGGGGGGGGGGGGGGGGGGGGGGGGGGGGGGGGGGGGGGGGGGGGGGGGGGGGGGGGGGGGGGGGGGGGGGGGGGGGGGGGGGGGGGGGGGGGGGGGGGGGGGGGGGGGGGGGGGGGGGGGGGGGGGGGGGGGGGGGGGGGGGGGGGGGGGGGGGGGGGGGGGGGGGGGGGGGGGGGGGGGGGGGGGGGGGGGGGGGGGGGGGGGGGGGGGGGGGGGGGGGGGGGGGGGGGGGGGGGGGGGGGGGGGGGGGGGGGGGGGGGGGGGGGGGGGGGGGGGGGGGGGGGGGGGGGGGGGGGGGGGGGGGGGGGGGGGGGGGGGGGGGGGGGGGGGGGGGGGGGGGGGGGGGGGGGGGGGGGGGGGGGGGGGGGGGGGGGGGGGGGGGGGGGGGGGGGGGGGGGGGGGGGGGGGGGGGGGGGGGGGGGGGGGGGGGGGGGGGGGGGGGGGGGGGGGGGGGGGGGGGGGGGGGGGGGGGGGGGGGGGGGGGGGGGGGGGGGGGGGGGGGGGGGGGGGGGGGGGGGGGGGGGGGGGGGGGGGGGGGGGGGGGGGGGGGGGGGGGGGGGGGGGGGGGGGGGGGGGGGGGGGGGGGGGGGGGGGGGGGGGGGGGGGGGGGGGGGGGGGGGGGGGGGGGGGGGGGGGGGGGGGGGGGGGGGGGGGGGGGGGGGGGGGGGGGGGGGGGGGGGGGGGGGGGGGGGGGGGGGGGGGGGGGGGGGGGGGGGGGGGGGGGGGGGGGGGGGGGGGGGGGGGGGGGGGGGGGGGGGGGGGGGGGGGGGGGGGGGGGGGGGGGGGGGGGGGGGGGGGGGGGGGGGGGGGGGGGGGGGGGGGGGGGGGGGGGGGGGGGGGGGGGGGGGGGGGGGGGGGGGGGGGGGGGGGGGGGGGGGGGGGGGGGGGGGGGGGGGGGGGGGGGGGGGGGGGGGGGGGGGGGGGGGGGGGGGGGGGGGGGGGGGGGGGGGGGGGGGGGGGGGGGGGGGGGGGGGGGGGGGGGGGGGGGGGGGGGGGGGGGGGGGGGGGGGGGGGGGGGGGGGGGGGGGGGGGGGGGGGGGGGGGGGGGGGGGGGGGGGGGGGGGGGGGGGGGGGGGGGGGGGGGGGGGGGGGGGGGGGGGGGGGGGGGGGGGGGGGGGGGGGGGGGGGGGGGGGGGGGGGGGGGGGGGGGGGGGGGGGGGGGGGGGGGGGGGGGGGGGGGGGGGGGGGGGGGGGGGGGGGGGGGGGGGGGGGGGGGGGGGGGGGGGGGGGGGGGGGGGGGGGGGGGGGGGGGGGGGGGGGGGGGGGGGGGGGGGGGGGGGGGGGGGGGGGGGGGGGGGGGGGGGGGGGGGGGGGGGGGGGGGGGGGGGGGGGGGGGGGGGGGGGGGGGGGGGGGGGGGGGGGGGGGGGGGGGGGGGGGGGGGGGGGGGGGGGGGGGGGGGGGGGGGGGGGGGGGGGGGGGGGGGGGGGGGGGGGGGGGGGGGGGGGGGGGGGGGGGGGGGGGGGGGGGGGGGGGGGGGGGGGGGGGGGGGGGGGGGGGGGGGGGGGGGGGGGGGGGGGGGGGGGGGGGGGGGGGGGGGGGGGGGGGGGGGGGGGGGGGGGGGGGGGGGGGGGGGGGGGGGGGGGGGGGGGGGGGGGGGGGGGGGGGGGGGGGGGGGGGGGGGGGGGGGGGGGGGGGGGGGGGGGGGGGGGGGGGGGGGGGGGGGGGGGGGGGGGGGGGGGGGGGGGGGGGGGGGGGGGGGGGGGGGGGGGGGGGGGGGGGGGGGGGGGGGGGGGGGGGGGGGGGGGGGGGGGGGGGGGGGGGGGGGGGGGGGGGGGGGGGGGGGGGGGGGGGGGGGGGGGGGGGGGGGGGGGGGGGGGGGGGGGGGGGGGGGGGGGGGGGGGGGGGGGGGGGGGGGGGGGGGGGGGGGGGGGGGGGGGGGGGGGGGGGGGGGGGGGGGGGGGGGGGGGGGGGGGGGGGGGGGGGGGGGGGGGGGGGGGGGGGGGGGGGGGGGGGGGGGGGGGGGGGGGGGGGGGGGGGGGGGGGGGGGGGGGGGGGGGGGGGGGTGGGGGGGGGGGGGGGGGGGGGGGGGGGGGGGGGGGGGGGGGGGGGGGGGGGGGGGGGGGGGGGGGGGGGGGGGGGGGGGGGGGGGGGGGGGGGGGGGGGGGGGGGGGGGGGGGGGGGGGGGGGGGGGGGGGGGGGGGGGGGGGGGGGGGGGGGGGGGGGGGGGGGGGGGGGGGGGGGGGGGGGGGGGGGGGGGGGGGGGGGGGGGGGGGGGGGGGGGGGGGGGGGGGGGGGGGGGGGGGGGGGGGGGGGGGGGGGGGGGGGGGGGGGGGGGGGGGGGGGGGGGGGGGGGGGGGGGGGGGGGGGGGGGGGGGGGGGGGGGGGGGGGGGGGGGGGGGGGGGGGGGGGGGGGGGGGGGGGGGGGGGGGGGGGGGGGGGGGGGGGGGGGGGGGGGGGGGGGGGGGGGGGGGGGGGGGGGGGGGGGGGGGGGGGGGGGGGGGGGGGGGGGGGGGGGGGGGGGGGGGGGGGGGGGGGGGGGGGGGGGGGGGGGGGGGGGGGGGGGGGGGGGGGGGGGGGGGGGGGGGGGGGGGGGGGGGGGGGGGGGGGGGGGGGGGGGGGGGGGGGGGGGGGGGGGGGGTTAAGGGGAATTTTTTTTTTTTTGCTCAAGACTTAAAATTTTTTCATTTTGTGGTCAACTATGATGGTGGGGTACTACAAAGGTGGATGAGGGAGTTTTAATTTGTTATGAAGATTGTTAACTGAAATATTAGGGGACTAGTAAGAAAAGGTGTCAATAAAAGAGTTTCTTTTGCAAAATGGGCCGAATACTATTATTTTGTAGGAATCTCAGCTAGAGGCAGTGATAGGAGATTGAATAAAAGTGTGTGGGGCTTTAAGTTTGAGAATTGGGTTGTGTATTGGACAAACATGCGTATTGGAAAATGAGAATCACCCAAAGTTATTAGAATTATTAAACTAGTCATCACCTTCAGAATTGACTAGTTTAATAAGGCACCTTTTGAGAATATAAGCTTTTTTATATGGTGTAAAAAGAGCTTATATTCCACATAGAATTATTAGAATCACCCAAAGTTAGTTTCAATGCTTAAAGACTTCCTCCTCATTGGCAATTGGTTTTGAGTTGGATGCTTTGCCACTTGTCTCATGGGTGAAGGCAGCGAGCGTGTCGCACCTGTTAAAGGAGATGTGCATAAGGCACCAATGAAATCAGTATTTGCGAATAATGCTACTGTCTGGGGTTGAGATGATTGCGATGATGGTGGTTTTGAGTTTGTGAGAAACGATCTGAGACAACTTTGATGTCGATGACGGATATGGGATTGAGAGGGTTTCAGTAGAGTTCCCTGATGGAGGTGGAGGAAGGCTATGTTGATGTGAATTCAAGTTATATTGCACTCTGATGACATCAATATCACTGCCAGCATTTCGGATTAGGATCAGATTATGTTTACAATGGGTAGAAACTTTAGATTGAAAGCCAGAAGTGGACATTAGTGATACTCGAAAGCTGTTTGATACAAATGATGCTCGTAGAGAGGATTTCAAATTTCAATGATAAAAATGGAGCTCCTGTGAGATATGTTCATCAAGGGGTAAGTCTTTCCCCTTAGTTGATTCCTAATGCACACCCTTTGCATTTCAGGTAAGCACTATCAACAAGTGTCTTCAGTGGGAATTATCTCTGAGAAGGGTATGTTTTCTTTGGTGCATAATGTGGAACCAAAGCCACGAGGAGGCCTCTCTGGATAATTTTGGGGGTCGTCAATCCTCCTATAGGTTAGGAAATTCTCTCTCTAGTCCTAGGAAAGAATTCCAGTCAGTCTTTGTGAACATGAACTTTAAGGGAGCGGATTGGAGTCCCCTAAGAAGTGCAGTTATTAGGGTATTAGAGAATGTCCTGAGTCAGACCTGTTAGCTAAACCGATATTAATTTCCAATGAGCAGAATTTGTATCTTGATAATAGAGATTCCATTATTAATTCTTCTCCTAGTAACTTACAGGCTATATCCAACAAGGCCATATAGTCTTGTACAAGGGAGATGGGAGTAGTTGAGTCCAGAGGTGGGAGGAGGGTGGGGACAATTCTGAAGGTGATGACTAGTTTTTCTACGTATGATGAAGAGAAGTGGATTACTCTTAAGAAAATATCCTTTGTTTCCACTAAAATGATGAGAAGGTTAAGGGGAATTTTTTTTTTTTGCTCAAGACTTAAAATTTTTTCATTTTGTGGTCAACTATGATGGTGGGGTACTACAAAGGTGGATGAGGGAGTTTTAATTTGTTATGAAGATTGTTAACTGAAATATTAGGGGACTAGTAAGAAATGGTGTCAATAAAAGAGTTTCTTTTGCAAAATGGGCCGAATACTATTATTTTGT